GGGGGGGAGCAAGTCGCGGCCACCAGGCCCACCCCGGGGCACACTCACTGCTTCCCCAGTTTCCAGCCGACGAACCCCACGAACCCCTCCGTACCCAGCCCCAGGCAGCAGGCTCAACGCCTCCCATGTCCCCTATCCGGGAGCCGACCAACAACCAAATCCTCCCCCCCCCACAAAAACCTACGAACCGCCCCAGGTTCCTCTTCGGCGGCCTTCCAGAACGTTCACAGAATCTTCCCCGCTGTTGTAGCCGAAAACGGCGCAGGCCTGGGCACCAAAAAAGCGCGCAAAACAAAGGTCCCCCTTTCGGGATCGACCTTGCGCGGGAGCGGCTGGGATCGCGCGGCGCGGCCGAGGGCGCGCGCGCCCGCGTCTGGGGGCGCGGGGGGTGTAATATTTGGCTGCCGAACGGCCAGGAAGGTGAGGTAAAGGGGGCTCAGAAGGCATGGTGCGCAGCAGGAAGAGCCCGCCCTCAGACCTTCGAGCCGGCCGGCGCCCTCCGGCACGGGTGCGCCCGTGCTGACCCCGTCCTGCCCCACTCCCCGCGCATGCCAGCTGCACGAGCCAGCAAGGGCCCCGGGTCAGAGCGCGCAGGGCGTGTACGAGAGGGAGGGAAGCCCGCGTGCTGAAGGCAGACGGCACCCTCATGAAGCGGTGTGCGTGGGGGCGGCCAGGCCGGCGGTGGTGCTGTATGGACTGCCTCCACCATCGCGAGCACGCCGCCCGCATGTGCTGGGCCCGGCCAGCTTTGAAGGCCGGGCGCTGTGAGAAAATACGCACCAGGGACACCCCTCCGCGGGAAAAGCGGCAGGAGACGCGTCTGGGGGCGCGGACGGGCCAATACTTGGCTGCCGGGTGGCCCAGGAGGCACAGAGGGGGGGGGCTCAAAGGGCTTCGCCCGGATCAGGAAGAGCCCGCCCGCCGGCCGCCTGGCCCGGTGGCGACCGCCAGCACATGAGCGCCCATGCTGAGACACGTCCCCCTTGCCCCCCCCACGGCAGCCGCCGGTGCCAGCGGGGGCGGTCAGGGCGTGCGGCGCGTTTTTTGAGGGGGAGGAGCCCGCGCGCCGGTGGCAAAAGTCCCCTCACGAAGCCGCGCGGAGGGAAGCTCGCGTGCTGAAAGCAGAAAGCGCGCTCCCCGGACGCCGCGTGCGTGAGGACGGCTGGGTAGGCGCTGGTGCGAAGATCGAGACTTTCCACCACCGCAACCGCACCGCCCACAAGTGGTACGCCCCACCACCTTTGAAGGAAACGCTGGTGCTTTACTGTACAATCCCATGAGCCTGGATGGCTCCAGGAGCGGGCGACCGCGGGACGCTGTAACAATCCTAATCCTAATCCTAATTGTTGAAGCCGGGCGCTGTGAAAGCGATGTATACCAAGGGCACGCCTCCACGCAAAAAAAGGACAGCCGAATGCCATACACAGCAAAACCGCAAAAGAAATCCTGTTTCATATCGACAAAACACCCCTCCCCAAACAAGGGCCAAACCTACAAACGCCCAAAACACGGCCAACCCAGCGGACACCCATATCACCCCTCACACCCCCCCCCCACACACACACACACACACTCACACACACCCACACACACACACACACACACCACCTGTCGTTCTTAGCCTTCTCCAGCGCCTTGAGCGTCGTCTCGTAGAACTGCTGCAGCAGGTCCGTGTCGCTGCTGCCCCCCACAAAGTCCAGCAGGCTGGGGTTGGTTGGTTGGCGGTCGCGGGGGAGGGCTCGGGGGCGTCAGGTGGATTGGGGTTGACACGGGCAGCCGGGGGCAACACTGGCAGCAGGGGTTGATACTAGCAGCTTGAGGGCCAGGCAGAGGTGCATGTGGCGTCAGAGTGGCTGGCTAGGCGTGTTACAACAAGCGCCGCGGGCGCAACGCCCCAGAATGCATGCTGGCCAGAAGTGGTGCGGCGCTGCACGGCCCTCGGCTGCACGGAGGGCGAGGTGTGACATCATCACATGTCACCACGTGCCTGTTGAGCTTCTTCTCGCTGGCGTTGCGGGTGACGGCGGCGGAGTCGACGTACGACAGCATCTGCCTGCGAAGCAAAATGACAGACATCACGATGACATCACCGAGGGGTCGCGTGATGATCACGGTGGACAGGGTTGAGACCCAGGGTTCAGCATGCGGTTGAGGGCACAACTTTGCAGAAGTAGCGGGGGTTGGAGGGGGCTGCCATGCCAGCGGACGAATTCAGGGCTTGCTGCTACTGCCATGTCAACGCCCCGATGAACTCTCATCTTGGTGCGGGCGTCCAGTACCCCACCCCACCGGCCCCGGCCGCCCACCTGTATGCCTCCATCATCTTGTCTGTCTGGCCCATCTTGTAGTACAGCTTGACCACCTGCTTCAGCGCCTTGAAGCCCCTGGGGGGCGCAGGTGCAGGGTTAGCAGGGGGCCAAGGG